TATTATTTATCTACCAAAATAAAGATAAAAAAGCAGAAATTATTAAAAATTCTTTACCCTTTAATTAAAAATAATATTGGTCAGAATACATAAGTATGTATATTGTTAATTATTGTAAAAATTAATTGCCATAATCAATTAAAATCTAGAAAACATTTTAAGCTCACATTTAATCAGAGTTTTTACCCTTTTAAGTCTTACTGCTTCGCGAGATGTGCCAAAGCTTCTGCTTGAAAACTTACAAGATCTTATAATTCTTTATTAATAATACGAAATTCAAAGTGAAGATAAATCTAGGCTTAGCTTCACTTTACAAGAATACAAATGTTAATAATATCTTAGTTTCATTCAATTGTTTTTACAAAGAAGCCCAACCGCTCAGCCTTGCGTATTCAATTGCTTTTATTGATTAATTAGTTAATTTAATTTGAGCGACGCCWGTGAAACCGCATATATGTATATATATATATTTAAAAAAGGCAACAAAAACTGATTGATTTTTGTATTAAATAAATCGTATTTAACGTATTTGAGATTTGAATTCAAAAGAATTATTCCTATTGAATGCATATTGCGTTCTCAATGAATCCAACGGCCGTTCGCTGCTCATTTGTATGTCGCGCAGCGTTTCTAATTATAAGCGAAAGAGCTCAATTTTGTTTATACATTATATATGTGTATATGTATGTACGAATGTGATTTCTTTATTATGGTTTTTCTTCCTCTTTGCCTGCTTTTGGCCATATGCCCTTCTATTTGCTACACATTTGGCGCGGCATTTACTCTGCGCGGCCCAATCTCAGCGAGCTGCCGCCGTGTCTTACATTTCCGCTTCGAAAGAGAGATATATACATATACACAAATGTATACATATAGATGTCGGAGTTGAGCATTTGGGGCCTTACAATATGCCGAACACGTCGCCGTTGCTTATTAATCTTTTTGACGAAATCTCCCACGGAACATGCTCACATTTTCAGACGTTTCGTTTGGCACTTTTCTCAGATTTAATTTGTTGTCTTTTGCTTTTGTTTATTTATTTTGTTTGATTTTTGTTTTGTTTTTGTTTTTTTTTTTCTATTTTGGGTTTTGCCTGATGATGTGCGCTGCTCTCGAAATGTTGTTTAATTTCAAATTAATTTATTGCCATTCGGCGTACAACAAGCGTCATAATTAATGTTTGCTCTCGGGCCTCAACTACTACCACTACTATACTGTGGGGGTCATGTCTTTAAACTCTGTCGAAGGTCGGCTGCTTGTTGTTCTGAAAGCTACTACACAAAAGGAGATTATCTTTCAATCTTTGAAAAACTGCACAAATAATATATAAACAAATAAATAAATACATAGACGCGCGTATCTTTCAATCAATTTTTTGTTGTTTTCTTTTCGTTTGTCTTAAATAACTTTTTGCGAACAATAGAGGGCGAGCTGCGGAGTCTGGGCATCTTGTGGTTAACGATGAGGTCAACTTGGATACATCTGGCTTTCTAGACGTGCTTTGTTTTGCCTTTACTTTGCTTTGCTTTTTTCGCCTTGAGATATGTCTCAATACGTGTGTAATGGCTTTCAGATAGCTTTGTATCTTTGAGATAGTTTTGTACCTCTAAGATAGGCGTGTATCTTTTTTTTAATAAAATGCAGTATTTTTATGACACTATTGTAACTTTGAGATATTTTTACAGCGTTAACCTCTTTAGTACATTTAAGGTATTGTTACAAGTAAGTAGATATTCTTCTATCTTTCAGTTACTGTTGTATATTTGTGGTAAATGCTGTAGAAATAATTCTATCTTTGTATTTTGTATTTTTGAAGTGAATGCTGTAGATATTATTCCATCTTTCAGATACTTTTGTATATTTAAGGTGAGATATGAAGTATCTTTTAGATACTTTTGTATGTGCAAAACGAATTAGTATCTTTCAGATTTTTATGAATCTAATGAATCAAAATTATTTGAATTTATTTGAATTTTTATTTTTTTCTAGATGTAGATACTTTTTAGTTTTAAGATATTAGGGTATGCTTGAAATACATTTGAATTTGTTAGATACATTTTTAAATTGCAAGAGATTTTAAATTTTATATTGGCCAAAGGCAGAAATATATTCGACTTTTCAGATACACACAAGTGTATCTTTGAGATACTCGCTTATCTATCGCTCCTAACATCTTCTTGTATCTGTAAGCTTCGTAACTAACTTCTGCTAGAACGTTACCTAGACGCAACTCGCAGCAGTCGCAGCACCCTGTAAATGTATCGATTAAGAAGACAAAGCACACGGCAAAGCAAAGCAAAATATGTAAACATGTCAGAATCAAACGCGTGTGTCCAATACTTAATGTATCTTGTGCATCGTATCTTTGGTTCTACTCTTTCTCTATGTCCCTCTCCTTCGCGCTCTATCGCTGGTTTTCTGTTCGCTTGCTCTGCAACGTGTGATTAGACACAACAGGCAGTGGCATATGTTATGGCAGCAATAAAACCAGGTTACAAAATGCAGCCAGACACAACATTAAACTCGCCAACGGCACACTTAAAAATCAGCACAGAAGCGCACAAAGAGTGCAACAAAATAAATGCGAACAAAAAGTGAGTCTGCGATTGATAAAAAGTCGATTAAATCGAGTTGTGTTCGTAATGCAATCCAGCGTACCGTTAAGCATCTCCATCTGCGATTTAGTTGACTTCCATTCAAGACTTTTCTCTGCCTCTGGCATTTAGAATGGCGCTAATACCACCAACTACTTAATACTTAACTAAAGTTCTGCAGTTGCTGAACTGTTTTAGCCCTTTTACGAAAAAAAAAAAATTGCAGCTAAAACTTTTTAATGAATTTGTTGGAACTTTTTGTGAACAAAAGATCGACCTGAGCTATTTATGCAACTGCATAAAATATCTACGAGATGATTTTTAGCATGCGAAAACTGGAACTTTTTAGGTTTTATGTTTTTTTTTTTTGAGTCCAATTAATAGTTTCTAACTAAAAACCAAGTGCATGCTGCATTAAATTAACTTATTCAAGACTTTTTTATGTTAATCTGAATAGTTCACGCTAAAAGTGGCTCAATTGCTGACTTTATTTACCAGCATTTTATAGATAAGCATTTTGGCTGAATAAAAAGTTTGAAACAACTTCAAACTAAAGATATTTAGCTGATCTACTGAGCAGAAAATTGTAACAAATTATAGTTTAAAATTGCTTCAAAATATAATTATTTTACTTTATAAATATATAAAGAATTTTATATTTTAAATCAAAACTTGAACAGTAAATTTGCTTTAAAATATGTTTAAATCATATTTAAAATATTAAGAAACATTTATTTATTTTATTTGTTTTTAATTGTTTCCATTTACATTTTTTTTATAAATTTCAGTCTGTAAAAAACTCAATAAAAGCTGAAGCTCTTTCCCGTCATAGCCTAGTTCTACTGTACTCGGTGACTAACTCGTACCGCTTTAAACATTCTCTGTTTGATTTGCTGCTCATCTAATACGGCTGGCAGCCAAGTGCCCCCCTCTTGGACATCGACAGCGACTGCGACTGCGACTGCGGCTGAGCCTGAAGCGTGAAGCGCAGTTGCGTTTTCGTTACGTTTCGCTGAATGCATAGCCAACGGCAGGGCAGGGAAGGGCAGTCAGCAGGCAGTCCAGAGACGACCACCCTCCCTGCCAATAAAAGCCAAATGATAAAATAAATATAGAGAAGAGGCCTCATATATGAAGTTGTAAATATGTAGGAGCTGGCAAAATAAACGAGCCAGCCACTGCATAAAATTCCACAGCTCGACACGCACACACAGAGGCAGCTTGTGGCAGCTTCTGTGCCGCAATGTCTGGTACTCAAACCGGGCAGGTGGCTGGCTGGTTACCTGGCTGGCTGGCTGGTTGTCTAGCTGGGCGCGGAGGCTTCTTCTGGCCGGAACGCTTGACCGGCTGATGATGCCCGGCCGCGACTCAACTCAACCCGACTCAACTCGATTCGACTCGACTGACTGGCCAACAACTTGCACACATATTGGAATATTTTCCGGTTCTAGACATGAAGAAAGTGCGGACAGCCTCTGGGCAACAGCGAGTCCCATAAATATTAAATGAACATCAATGAATATAATATATTGTATTGTCCTTAAAATATTTATTATTATTTTTAATATTACTTTGTTTGCTTTTTAATGCTTTGGCAGCTTTCCAGTGCATCCACAATTGATTTAGTTGTTGTTTAATAATTTCACTTGCAGCGATTTTTGTAATTATTTATTTTTGCTTTTTAGCTGTTTTAGGATTTTCCACTTTTCTGCGGCTACTTTCTGCTCAATGAAATTTTCATTTGCACGAGAGCACAATGAGGGCGCACTGAGACCGTGTGGAGTAGCACAATACACACAGGCACACAAACACACGCTAACACCCAGGGAGCAGCTCACACTCTGTTAAACATACGGGCGCACCAAATGTACGCGACACGAGACAAAGTGTTTATTTAACTGTTTTTATTCAAAGTTTCATAGGCGGCAAAGTCAGATGAATTCAATCGAGTCCAACGCGCAGTCGATGAGCACCATGTAAAGACTGAAACTGAACTGAAAGCTGAGCTGAAAGGCAGCCAACGGGCAGCCAGAGAGATACACAAGAAATGCTAACAGGCCGGCATCGCTGTTAACCGACAAAGAGCACGAGCGCCCACTCCCGCTGTTAAAAGACTCAGGGAGAGAACGAACGCAGCGCCGCTGTTAGTATTAACATTAACATTTAGCACTCTCTTCTCTGTGGGCTGTGCGCGTTGATTGACTGTTGATTTGTGGGCTTACACCGTGGTGCGATTAATGACAAGAGCTCAGCGGATGGCCGCACAATATGTTGAGCTTGGCTGCCTCGACTTAGTTGGACTTAATGTTGTTGTAGTTATTGTAGCTGCTCTTCTTGTTGTGGCTGTAGGCCGCGCAGAACTCTCACTGTGAGATGGCACTTAAGTTTTTAGTTATGCATCAAAGCTAAACAACATTCAATTTTCAATCCGTTTCGTATAGCGCGAACCGGTATACGAATTTATGGCCTGAACTAGCAGCTTTAGTAAAATATATTTATTATCATATCAATAACATATAGTTCCTTGTCGTTTATCTATATCAATATTAATGAAGCTTAAGTTTTGATGGGCTCTTAAGTTTGTAAATAAATTAACAAAGTCTTTTGAGAAAATGTTAGAGAAGGTAAAAATAGTTATATGATAATCATATGAGAACATTTTTAGGCTTACTTAAAATTAATGCACATATTCAAGCCATGAGCAAATCTAAAGACAACTGATACAAAGTCTCTCTGAGTTAATACTTCACATAAATACGGGCAATGAAATAAAAAAAAAAATAAAATAAAAAAATAGTTGTAGCTATTAAAGTATTGACGCCGCCAGTCGCGCTGTCCCAATCAGTGGACGAGCATCCCATAGCGTTAAATGTCACGCTGTTGAGCATTGGCAATGGCCATGGCCACGCTTAGAGTGCCAACAACAAAAGAGACCGCCACTATGCAGCGAAAACAAAAACAAAAGCACATGCAAAGCAAACGGGTCAAAATTACAGTTGAAGCTTAGAGTGAAGGGAAAAGTGGAGTGGCGAGAGTGGAGAGTGGAGTAGATAGAGTGCTGCGGGCTGTTATGCACAGCGGGATATCTGCAGCCGCATCTCTAGCAGACAACTGTTAAACGCTCAATAGCATGAGAGCAACGACTGTTAAATAGCAACAGAGTAAGCTAGTTTTATTGCTCTTAGCTGTAGCTGAGTACGGGGCACGCGACAATATCAATAATATTATCGGTTTTAACTGATAGATGGATGGCTAGGTTTTCGCAAATGTGACAGACGTCAGTCTGAACTGTCAGCGGAAGCGCTTTAGAAAATCGATAAATAAATATAAAGAGGCTCTGGCAGCTTAAACGCTCTTGTCTTCAGAGCTTTAACTTTTAATGAGCTGCCGTTTTGCTCTGACTGCTCTGACTGACATTTCTTTCTTTCCTTATGAGAGGCATTTTTTGTATGCTTAGCATCTACTTATGTAAGTATATAGTATACCTAAACCGTGTTGTTTCTCAGCTGTGTGCCATTGCCATTAAGCATTTGGCATTTGCCATTGTCTCGAGGCACTGGCGCTAGATAATTGCGTTTAACTGGCAGCCAGCGAGCTGCCATTGTTGTTGGCATTCTCTTTTTGGCTCGCAACTAATCAAATATTAATGCCTTGGCTTTTTCCAGCTCGGCATTTAAATAATGCAGTAGCTCTAGCTTGTCATTTTCACTTAGTTTTTGTTTTGTGCTTTTTCCGGGCATAAGCATTGCATAAGCAAAAGAAAGCATTTTTATGCACTGCCCACGCAGCGTATGCGCAATTTTGATGAATATTTAAATATTTAATGCACACCTAAGAGCCCAATTCGTTGACCCTTCAGACAAGTCCCAAAGCCTCTGTCTGTCTGTCTGTCTATTTATTTGCGTGCATTTGTTAAGGAATCATTGAACTTTTCTTAGTGTTGCCAAGTTCAAGAGTTCAACGCAGCCAGCAGCAACAGCAGCAGCAGCAGCAACAGCATCTGTTGTTATATTTAACCCAGAGTCAATGTTTTCTAATGCTACTTGCATTACAAATCTATTGTGGGGTATATTCATTTGATGCACTCAACACGATCCATATTTTTAGGGAAATCGAGCTGGGGTTTCCTTTCAGCCCTAACCCTAACCATTCTCAACCTCACGCGGATTTTTTTCTCTCCTCATTTTTCCAGGATATCTCCCTGTTCAGCTTTTGCATAACATATTCCATATTTAGCATATTTTCTTGTAGCTAAGCTTTCAGTCTCTTGTTGCGCTTTTTTTGTGCGGTTGAAGCATTCTAACCATAGCCGCATTCCGTGCTCGTTCCCTTCCCCTCGTGGCGTCGTCTGTTCGTTCTTTTGAGCACTTGAAGGTTCCTTGACGCGACGTCGCCAATGCTTAAGGACAATGGCTAAAGTCGCTTTATGTTTTCGCCTGTTGGCGCTGCCATTAATTCTATTTGGCCCACCCAATGCCGTCTGCTCCTTTATGCCATCAATGACCGTCATTCACTCGGTTTGCCCCGGTCCCCCCTCTCTCATTCTCACTCAGCATAAATTAGTCGCGACGTAGTCTGATTTTCTTGTTGTGTTCCATGTCTCTCTCTCACTCTCTCTCTCACCCTCTTAACTGGCTTAGTGAATATTTTGGCATAATTAATGGTCAGTTCGTCAGCTCATCAGCTTGACTGCGTGGGCGTAACGGGACGTGGCGTGCCGTTCACGCATAATTATCTACTCTAGAGTAGACAATATTTGCCAGGTTCAAGGGTCAGCCAATGTGTCAGGTACATGATCCATAGATGTCTTTCTTAGAGAGTTTTTTTTTTTTTTGGGTGAGTGTGTATATGTATATTCATGTATATATATGCAGTCTGCATTGAGACAGCATTTGACTTTGCGAAATTGATAATCCCTTTGCAGTAAAGATAGCATGGAATGAATCGTAAGTATATAAATTAATAAAATATTATTAAATATAAAATGATTAAATATTTGGACACTCATTAATTAAAAATAGTTGAGGCAGATATAATATAAATAATGCATACAAAGTAATTAATATACACATACATATCTGTATATATTTTTATTGATTTAATGCTGTCGTTTGTAATTCATGTTAATATAAATAAAAATATATAAATCTGTGTAAATAGTTCTGCCTCTCTTGTTCCTTTAGTTATTTTTCCTCTCGCTCTTTCGACTGCAGTTTAAATATAAATATGAATATAAATAAATTAAATTATATTA